TTTATTTATTTGACAGAGAGAGACACAGCGAGAGAGGGAACACAAGCAGGGGGAGTGGGAGAGGGAGAAGCAGGCTTCCCGCCGAGCGGAGAGCCTGACGCGGGGTTCGATCCCAGGACCCCGGGATCATGACCTGAGCCGAAGGCAGACGCTTAACGACTGAGCCACCCAGGCGCCCCAAAACTGTGATATTTTCATGGTGAGATGCCAAACATCCTCACCCATCATGTTCCACCAATATTAAATATTGACTGATAGTAAAATAAAGAGTGGGGATGTTCTTCTGTCCTACATCTTGGGTCAGTGTGCCAAGTACTGAACTGATTACATGAACGTTTAATTTTAAAAGTAAATTCACAATCTGAATGTAAATTGGTTACTAATCAGGTCTTCATTTATTCAGTCATTGGTTCAACACATGACTGACAAGTTTTTCTAAGACCTTTCCATGTGCCAGTTCCTGTGTGAATGAATAATATGATCTGATGTGATGAATAATAGGATCTCTTCTTTCATGTTACTTAGTCTGGTTTGAGGGGTAGAAATAACACATTAGAACAACTAATTACTAGCCATTATGTAAGTGCCTTTATCTTTCAGTAGTTGATCTGGATGTTTCATTCAGTCTAGTAGAAGGAAGAAAAGAAATGGGAAAATAAACATTGAGTGCCTCTCTTATATGCCAGACAGATGCAGAGTCTGACCTCAGCATGCTACAACCCAGCAAACACACAACGTTAGCCTGACATTTAAAAGGCACGTTTAGGGCGCCTGGGTGGCTCAGATGGTTAAGCGTCTGCCTTCGGCTCAGGTCATGATCCCAGCGTCCTGGGATCGAGTCCCGCCTCTGGCTCTCTGCTCCTTGGGAGGCTGCTTCTCCCTCTGCCTCTCTCTCTCTCTCTGTCTCTCATGAATAAATAAATAAAATCTTTAAAAAAGACAAAGATTTAGGTTGACAGTAACTATCACTTATTGGCTGCAAAATCTTGGACAAGTTACTTCCT